TCCTGATGAGAATATCTCCTGGGATAGTGGGCAGGAGGGATATTCTTTGAAGAATTTTACTTGGGGGGCCAGAGATTTAAACTCACACTGTGGGACACATTCAGCTGGACCCAGCCCTCTCAAAACTTTCATCCTGTATTTCTCCATTCTCATTTGTCTTTGCATGTGGGGGCCAAATTTAGAGACTAAATACAACCCATACAAGAGCCAACCAGCAGATCAAAGAATCCACCAAATCTCTTCTGAATACCAACAGTGGAATGGCTTCAGGCAGCCTTTTGATCTTGGTCTCGGCCCCTGTGGTGCCACACGCAGCACCGCCTACTTGCTGGCACCGGGGGAGCTGCCTCTGGGTCCTCCCTGCAGACGGCTTCACCCTCAGCTCCTGGGGCTAAGCTCATTTTGGTACCAGCTAGAGAAATACCTCTCATTCTCCTTCTCCCTTGCTCACCTGAATCTGAACCATTGCCCTTGCCGCTGCTGCTCCCATCTTGTGTGATTTCCTCTGGGGAACCCCGGTGAAGTGCCAGGGTTAACGAGGTGCTCCATTTCGGCTTCAGGCCTCCCGTAGTTTCATTCTCATGGTTAGAGATCACCTAGGAGCTGGAAACACTGGCCAACACCAGGAAAATCATACAACTCAATTTAACAAACAGCAAAAGGCTTTCTTCACTCTACAGGTATAACTTAAGCCTGAAATAACAGGCCCCAAAGCATGCTTGTATTTTTTTCTCTTATTTTCCCTTTGGCTGCTTCTATATGTTAGAATACTACTACTTTCTAATTCAGCATACATAAGGCTGAACTTATAAAAAAGATAGTGATTACTTAAATGAGAAAATAATTTGTTACAGGATCCCTTTAAATATTTAATGCATTTCAAATATTAAGTGTGCAAAATCTCAGTACATGCATTATTATGGAAAACAAACTACCCTTATGTGGCCATGTACTGTGAAAAACAAAACCCCCCTTTTCAACAGGCGTAGGCAGGGTAGGATGTAGGGTTTAGAGTGGGGAGGGAGCCTGCTTAACTTCCACCCTGACTCTGACCTTAAACTTTCCAACATAGATTGCTTGAGGGATATTTTGCCCAATATGCACTTAATAACTTTTTTCTACTTTATCATTCAGCTCTGATTACCCCCCCATTCGGAGTTTGTGCCTTGAGGCTTGCCAGCAGGGCTTGCAATGCTTACATTAAACTAAACTTAAGAGTAAAGGTGCTCCTGCTGCTAATGTTCTCAGATCAGAGGAGAGCAAAATGAAGGAACTGGCAGCTGAAACATTAATGGTAGGAAATGTTGACTCAAGTTTTGAGGGGGCAAAAAATCACAGTTGATCTGGGTGACAAAGAAGACAAGTTCCTCCCCTTATATAACATCTGTATTTGATTTCATTAGATGTTCATCTTTCCTAGCAAAAATAATCTAACCCCAGAAACATCAAAAAGGGTAAATTTTATATGGCATACTGGTAGCCCAACTTGGGGAGGGGAGCTGACACACATCTTGATGGGATATATTGGCTGGATCAGAGCTACTGGGGCGTGGTCCCACTGTTTCTAAGTAGCCTTATCTTCCCAGTATTCAGAGAAATTACAAGTACTGTTCCCTCATTTTAAAGCACAATTATGCAGTCATTACTGCTGCCCAATGCCCTTGGTAAGCAAAGTGAAGCTCTCAGAACAGTCTTAATTCATAGAGAATGGAATGCCCCGACCGAAGCAAGAATAGTTAGTTTTCTTCTCTCCCTTTCAAAATCCGCTAAGGTTAGACGCATCAGGGTTAAGAAACTGAGATGGTCCAGGTTTGCTCTCTAACATTAGAGGACTCTGAACATCGAGTCTCACAGTTTTTATGAAATAGGCTCATGGAGATGGGTTTGGGGAGCCTTTGGTGTCCCTTCAAAGCTGTACATGAGGTCCAACCCTATGGTTATAACTTGTCACCACATGTTCTGCAAATGTTGCCATTTAGTAAATTCTGGTTATCCAAGTAACTCAACTAGTTAACATCTAATCAGAAGAATAATTTTTTAAAAAAATTACAAAAGAATTAAGTCACTATATTATGAAGTTATGAAGTATAATACAGTATGTTTCTGATGTTTGTTTTGGAGGAGAGAACATCTGCTGTTTAGACTGTGTGCTTTAAAGCTACAACTATATAAAAATGGGTAGGCATTATGTTCCATGGATCATGTCATGCCCGGATAATTTAGGACTGTTTTTTATTAGGATTGTGTTATATCCAAAACAAGACACTGGCCTGCATTAAAATTTTCTCTTTAGTTATGTGAAAAATTATTTTCAGGCCAGAGTAATAATCTGTTTTTAGAACACAAGACTGCCTATTGCTACAGTGAATTTCAAGAGATATTTTGTTTTTTTGTTTCTCCCTCCACCCCCACCCCCACCTCTGCTATGGCTTTGTAGCACAGAGCAATATTGGGATATTGTGTCTCAGCCATTCACAGGTGGCTCTACCTCAGGTATGACTATGTCTCTACCTCCACCTCTACCTAAAAAACCATCCTATTTCACCCAGATTTAACAGCAAGCTCCCAGCTGGCCCCCTTGCTGTCTGCCCTCTTTCCCCTACTGTCTAAATTTAAAAGAGAAGCCATAGTGATCCTTAAAAGGTAGAAGTCATACCATGTCATTCCTCTGCTCAAAATCCTCCCATGGACTCTTACCTCAATCAGAGTGAAAGTCACAGTTTTTACAGTAACTTTCAAGACCTGGTCCCATCAGAACACAACATTTCTTCTAACGTCTTTGACTTTTACCTCCTTACGCTCTTATTTATCTCTTTGCTACTGGTGAGAATTTGAGTACTTTCTAGTCCCTTGCTTTATTTTTTGCTATAGATCTTATATATATTTTGTTTATTTTTGTATTGTCTGTTTTCCCCCACATCCACCCCTATAATATAAATTCATGAGGTCAGAGATCTTTGCCTTTTTGTTTACTGCTGTAGCTTCAGCACATGGAACAGTATCTGGCACCAAGTAGGAGCTTAATCTGTTGAATATATTCAATGTGCAGATTGATGGTGACTTATCCTAGGTCACACAGATAGTAAATGCTGGAGGTAAGTAATTTAAAATAAACAACAAGCCTTCCTGTTGCTTGGTGGGGCTAAGGATAGAGGTAAAAACTGATGGACATAGTGCTGGTGGAATCAAGAGGCTCTGGCCCTTTGGATGCCTCTCTATTTAACAGAAGAAGTGTGGGTTCTTTTGCACCTGAAAGCCCTTGCAACATGTGATAATTTTTTCATTCTATGTCCACTGACATTATTTCCACACTTATTCCTCTTCGGAGTAAGGTTTAGATTACTTGATTTTATAGACCCACTTTTATTATTACTCACTTATCTTCTCCACTGTGGCACATTGCATTTCCCGAAGATGGCCCCAACAACATCTTCCATGTCACATTCTTTCTTTCAATGTGACTTTGATGCTGTCTCATCAATAGGTGGATCTATGTTCACTAGCTTTGAATCTGGACAGGCCTATCATTACAGTAGAAGTGATGCTATATGACCTCCAAGGCCAGGCCCTAGAAGGGAACACAGCTGCCACCTGGCTTTTCTTTGGGATACTTGCTTTTGGAGCCCTAAGCTGCCAAGCAAGAAGTCTAGGGCTGCCATGCTGTGAGAAAGCTCAAGCCACATGGAGAGGCCACGTGTGTATATTCTGGCAGAGACCCCGGTTGAGGTCCCAGCTAATAGTTAGCATCAGCTATCAGATATATGAGTGAAGACACTTACAGGTGCTTCCTGCTTCCCCCCATTGAGTTACCCCCAACCTTCTGAGTCTTCCCAGCAGAGGTCCCCTCCATTGTGGAGTAGAGAAAAGCCAATCCGTTGTGACCCATCCTAACTCCTGACCCACAAAAAGTGTGAAAGATAACAAAATGATTGTTGTTTTAATCTTTTTAAAATCACTATGTTTGGAAGTGATTTGTTGCAACGTTTTAGCTGTGCGTCCCTCATGGCAGCTGTCTCCTTGTTGAGAATTATTCTTGGCATCTATCACTTGCAAGGAAAAACCTTTATTTATAAATGATAAAGTTTTCTAGAAAAATCGCAAAATATGAGCAATTTTCAATTATTGACTACAACAGGAAAGCAAAGCATGAACATTTGAAATCCGTAGCTGTCCTAAAAATCTCTACTTTTTAATTGCAATCATGTCTCTTAACAAAACTCATCCCAACACTCCTGATTGACTAAATTTTCAACTCATTTATCAGATTTTCTCCTTCATGGTAGAGATGCAGACAAGTAATAAATTGGACACAAGGCAGCTAGTAGAAGAAAATAATGAGTGAAGCAACCTGTAGAATTATCTCACTGAGTATCATTCCTGACTAACAGAGCTATAGCTCTACGCACACAGGCGGTCTCAGCTCAGGTGACAGACTGGATCTAACGATGTCTTAAAATAGTCTTTGAATGATTTATTCTTTAAAATATCATTTCTCTGTTTGTGTTTTTTTTTTTTTTGTAGTCCAAAATGACTACTCTGCCCCCACTGGCCGTGTCACGCTCAAAACTGACATCCTTAGCCAGACAGAAGCTGCCATGCTCCCCCAAAACAATTCCAAGGTACGTGAGCCCTGGTTTTCATTTCTTTTCCTACAAAATACATTCCTTACTGTAAGAATGCCAATAGCATGTCTCAGAAAACAAATTGTTTAAAGGCAAAAGTATATTGTTATATTTAGAATATTCAAATTTGTGGTTTTAAAAGAATTGTTGAACTTCACTTAAATATTAAGGATATATGTATTTAGCAAGTTAGTGCTCATCTGATCATTTTAGTTCTTACTCCAATTGTATCATGGTTCCTATGAAGCTTTGGAGATACATTTTTTCATGTGTGTGGAGAACAGAAAGCAGAAGCTTTAGGAATGAACAGGGTCTGGCTTCTAATCCACAGGTTCTGATTGCTGATTTCCATTTGGAGGGCGAGGACAGTCACTCCTAGGGTAGATTGGCGGGCACGGTTTAGCTCCCGAAGTGACCCTGGGGCCTGCAGATGCACCATCTAACCACTGCTGCCTGTGAAGGGCTGCAGAGCTCCTGGAATTGTAGCCCAGACACTGCAGGACAGAGAACTTCATGCATTTTGTCATAATTAGGAATATTAACTAAGGTTGCATTATTTAGTAATTGCATTTATAATTGTGTTGATGTTTAGTAATGCACATATCATTTATCAACATAAATAATTTGCATGTCTTGTTGGATTATTTTCTTTATATATGTGCTTTTCAATTCCTGCCAGGCCTAATAATCAAAGCATTATGAAACTACTGTGTTCTGAAAAATATCATACCTCATTTTTTAGTATTTCTGGGAAAGACCAAAGCCCCCGGACCAAATAAATACACTTAGCTAGACTACAAAAAAAAACCCTTTTTTAATAATAACAGATCAAATTTTCTTTTCAAAAATTAAAAATATAAATTATTAATAGATGCATAATTCTAGAATATATAATTTTATTAAGGTATAACTGATATTACAGATATATATGTAGATATACTGGTATATATATTTTACTTTGGAACAGTGTGAAATATTAAGAAAGTCTGAAAAAGATTATTCTTCCTATCTTTTTTAATGATTGAGATTACATTTGCTTTACAGTATGAGTAAAAACACAGCCAATCTCACATCTCTAAAATAAGATGGCTTTTTAAAGAAAACTTTTCCTTGTATTCATATTGAATAAAAACATTTTTATCATAACCATTTAAGGCAAAGTTTTGTATCAACATTCTCCATTACTACTGAATAAAAACAGATAATTTTTCAGCTCCATACTCCCATGGTTGTAAGGTGTTAATAATACGTTTATTTTTAAAGGTGCAAGGGGGCGTAAAGGATAAATGCACTACATGTGTAATGTATTGCTCAGTTAAGCCTTCTTAAAATCACTCTGCACTTTGAACTTTTAATAATTACTTGAGTTTTATGTATGATTAAAAAAACACTCGAGCAGCATTGCAGAACAAATCTGTTAATGTTTGGAACAAATAAATTGTACACATTTGTATCCAATAGGTATTCTCAGTTCAAGATTCTGTGCCCAGCAGAATACGACTTCTGCAGTTGGAAAGTCATACTGTGAAACAACATGAGTAAAAAGGAAGACCTTATCAGCTTTGAGCAAAAATCTATATTTAAAAATGCAGATTTTCTTAATGTGTCTGGTGTTTTCTTTGTTTACACACCAGGTTTAATATTCTTCCTTGTCTTTCTCCATTCAAGAAAACTAAAATTTAGAAATTCTCAGTCAATAACCTTACTCTGCGGCTGTTGCAGAACGTTTCTTGTGTGTGGTATTATGCCCCGAATGCTCCTGTTCTCCTGGTGGCATCTTATGTTTGGTAGCTTTTCTGCCTGATACAGCAGTGCTTTACTATTTCTTTCCATTTCATTGAGGTCTCAACTGATCAAAGAAAAAGACGACATAGATCATTATCTGGAGGTGAAGTTCAAAGGATTGTCGAAAGAGGAGGTTGCCGCGTAAGTATAACCTCTTAAAGGTATTTTAATGTGAAGTTTGTTTCCTTTGTCTCGATTCTTCGTTGAAATTTCAGTTTTCCTGTGCAGTACACCTTTTCACTGGAACATGGCACTTAAAAATTAAAGCTCATATTAAATAATGATAAGCCATATCTATTGATCTTACACATATCAAAGTCTTTAATTTTATGGCTCTCAAAATTCTCATATTTACCAAGATATTATACTGTCAGATTTGTAGTATTTTAGTTAAGTCTGTGCCATTAGTTGCTTATTAACCTCCATTTTAAGGTGTGTTGCCTCCATGCAGGAGAAAAAAGCTTTAAGAGAAAGAGTTATTTTTTTTTCCTAGTGATTAAAAAAAAAATCCTTCACTAATGTGTCTCTCCCCCACCCTATCAAGAACCCACAAAAAGAATTAATGACTCATAGTTTATTGGTTAATTTTAAAATAATTGTAAATTGTCTGGATTTATTTTTTAAATCAACAATGTCAACTTTGCTATTTTACCACCAGTTAGAAGGTAATTTATTTTGTGAGTAGAAACAGTATAAAAATCCATGTAGGATAATGAGAAATAGAAACCTAGAATACTAGCTAAACAGGTTTGTTTCTTACCTATAGACTTGGTGATTCTGTTATCAGATCTTTAGATGTAAGCATTGAAAAATGGAAATCTTATAAATGCACATGCATCTTATGGAATTCATTTAATGATCCAATTAAAATATTTTATGAAAGCATACTTTTAAAAAATTCTGTTAGTATTGTCCAGTACTATGAGATCCAAATGAAAAAGTATTCCTAATGATATTTTTGGTGTAGGTTTTCGTAGAATCTAAAATTCTAAGTCTCTTGATTTATTTTATTTTATTAGATATTATTTTGTCAATTTGCGTATAACAGAAAAAGGGAATAGTTCATTCTGTCAGTAGAAACTTTATTTTATAGAGTGACAAAATTTTCAGTAACTGTAATCACTATCTTCCTTGGCACTCTCTTGACTGCCATGTGTAGTATCTGAGACCTTTTGTTAAATGCTATCCTGATTGTTAATTTGTTAACTTTCCGCGGTAACCTGTCGGATAAAATTAAAAGTCAATATTGTCTGATGATATAATTACTTCTTAAAAGAAAAATACATATGAGTGATACTTGCATTCTGATTTAAATATAAGAACATCGACATAGCTGTAACTGGCTTAAGAAGTAGGCCTTTAGCCCGGCCGGGCATGGCTCAGCGGTTGAGCCTTGACCTGGGATCCAGGAGATCAGGGTTTGATTCCCAGTCAGGGCACATGCCCAGGTTGTGGGCTCGATCAATGACTCTCTCATCATTGATGTTTCTATCTCTTTCTCTCCCTCTCCTTTCCTCTCTCTGAAATCAATAAAGATATATTGAAGAAAAAAAGAAGAAGAAGTAGGTCTTTAATTTGGAATTAAACTTTTTCACATAATTTAACAAGCTGGAAATCCATATACTTAAAATCTGCTAAGCTTTCAGTGTGTACTGAAGAAAACTTTGATCTAAGACAATGCAAAATAGGCTATATTGAGGAGAATTCTCTTAATACTATTTTTTTTCACTATGGAAATTAGCAAATTGATTTCAAATTTATATTATGCAACAGGAAACAAGTAGCACTGGGTAAGTCTCAGTCCTTAATATTGTATTCTCCTTAAAGCTCCCTGCACTTGACTACTTTTTTAGACTGAAGCTTTTCCCCTAAGAAAGTGGTTGCAAACTTTAGCAGGAAGCTAGCGTGTGCTTAGCTCAGTAGTATGCTTTTGATTGATACACATTCTAGACTTCGCCCCAGACAAACTCCTTGCATACCATTGTAAGGAATAAAATTGATAAATGATTTCAGCGTCCTGCAGCAATGCCCAGCAGGTGCCATGAGGAATTACGTCCATTCTGTTAGCCAAGGAACTGCTGCATAAAACTTTTTATTAGCCATTCAACTCCGAAAAGATAAATCGGTCAACAAGCATTTATTAAGTGCCTACTTTCTATGTAATACTACGTTTTTCACAGTGGGAGACATGATGACATTTTATTGTAAAATGTTTGGCCCTACCCTTGTCTCAGTTTGAGAAAATAAGAGCAGAAAACAAATAGGAAATGAAGTGGGGGCTGACTGTGCTGTGAGGGGCAGCCCGAAGCTCTGGAGGAGATGAGAGGAGACCAAGGCTACCGGTGGGGTGCAACCTGCCCAGGAAGACCGGCTGGGCGTGGCCCCCGCTGGGGGCATTACAAAACGATCCGACTGGTGTGTTACGGATCGTCAGGGTATAGGGATATTGAGGAATCAAATTTTCAATCAGGCTTCAAGTCCCCCTATACTGCCTTCATCTTCTCTAAGATGGCGAGAATGTGAGCATCCCTACTCTACATAATTGACATACACTAGCTTTCGTATCGCATAATATGTATGTGCTCCTTGCCTGGCACCAAAATAAGCACTCACCGTCTCCCTCAAAGTGCACCAGCCCGCTCACGGGGACTCGCACTCTGTTCCCTCCTGTCATCGTCTCCCTCAAAGTGCACCAGCCCCCTTACAGGGGGACTCGCACTCTGTTCCCTCCTGTCATCGTCTCCCTCCAAGTGCACCAGCCCGCTCACGGGGGGACTCGCACTCTGTTCCCTCCTGTCATCGTCTCCCTCCAAGTGCACCAGCCCGCTCACGGGGACTCGCACTCTGTTCCCTCCTGTCATCGTCTCCCTCCAAGTGCACCAGCCCGCTCACGGGGACTCGCACTCTGTTCCCTCCTGTCATCGTCTCCCTCAAAGTGCACCAGCCCGCTCACAGGGGGATTCGCACTGTTCCCTCCTGTCATCGTCTCCCTCAAAGTGCACCAGCCCGCTCACAGGGACTCGCACTGTTCCCTCCTGTCATCGTCTCCCTCCAAGTGCACCAGCCCGCTCACGGGGGGACTCGCACTCTGTTCCCTCCTGCCGCAGGGGGTGGAGAGCCCTGTCCGTGTCTAAGGTTGCCGCCTCTAGCTGGGCCCTGGATCCCGTCCCCTCGTATTTGCTCTAAGACTTTCTCCTGCAGTTAAACATGTTTTTCCTCTACATCGCCAGTGTCTCCTTTTCCATTGGCTCGATCTCGTTCACGTTTACACCGGCTCCGGCATCGCCCCTGCCTTCTCAGGCCCCTCCAGATTCTACCCCAGTTTTTCTCTACCCTTCACAGCAACCCGAAGCAATATCCCAATATTGTCACATCCTGGTCTTGCCTCAGTTGACCCCTAAGAGATTTCCAACCAGAGCTCACTAAAACCTGTCTGTTTAGGGTGAGCAATGCCCCCCACCTTTACCACGCCTAATGGTCAGGCTGCTGCCCTCACCTGGCTTGATGTCTTCACAGCGTTTGACAGAGCTGAGCACTCTCTCCTCGGACATCCTGTCACTGTGGTTCCCCGGACGCCACGGCCTGTGGTTTTCCTCCAAACTCTGACGGCGCTGCCTCAGTCTCCTTTGCTGGCTGCCTTCCTCTTTTCAAACTCTCACTGGCGGGGGTCCTAGGGCTGGGCCTTAGGGCTTCTCCTCCAGCTACACTCTCTACCCAGGTTCAGTCTTACAGCTTTAATTATTAGCAATAACCTAATGACTATCAAATTTGTAAACCCAGCCCTGACCTCTCCAAGGAACTCCAAATTTTTATATTCAACTGCCTCCTTGAGATAGTTATTGGATTTTTAACGGACATTTGAAGGTTAATGTGACCCCGAACTGTACTCTTGCTTTACTCCTATTGCCCCTCACTCCCCACAGGATATTTCTCCCACACTCTTTCCCCAATTCAGTAAATGGCATCAAGACAGCCTTGAGTGTCACCTTGCCTTACTACCCCTCCCCTATCTAATGCATCAGCATGTCTTACCAGATATAACCTAAAATATAACTTGTGTTAACCCACTCCTCTTCATTGCATAAGCACCATCTCTTGCCAAGATCACTAAAATAGTCTCCTAACTGCTCTTCTCACATCCCCTTTACCTGCCAAAACTCAGCCTCCAGGGTGGCCTTTTGAAAAAAATTAGATCATGATACTCTCGTTTATAACCCTCCAAGGGCTTCCCATTGTTCTCATGATAAACTCTAAATTCTCCATCATGGCCTAAAGCTGTGCAGGGTTTGGACTTGGCTGGCCTCTCTGAGCTTATCTCCCATCCTCCCCACCGCGCACCACTCACAGTGTGTTACTGCTGACACTCCTTGTCTGCCATTCCCTGACCTTGATATTTAGTAGCCTTTACCCCACCCACACTTTCTCCCAATCAAGTTGTCTGGGCCTATTTCTACATAACCTAGACCCCATCTTGCATCAGGAGTTTTATGTCAACTGTCTCAACCCTAGCAGAAGGGATGCTCCACAGGAGCAGGGGTAGGTCCGTGTGTGAATGCCACCGTGTCCCAGGGCCTAACCGGGGCCTGGCACATGGTCAGAGCTCAGGAATTAAATGTTGAATAAATGACTGAGTGAAAGAATAAATGTAAGATTAACAACACCACAAAATAGGTATCCTGCTATGAATATTCTTTGGTTATAACATTTTTAGTTCAGTGTTACATGTAGCTGGTTTGATTGTTGAATCAAGGAAGTTAAACTCCTCAGAAGTGTTTTATTATGTACCCAGGTAGTAGTATAACATATAACTGAGTAACTGAGCAGGACAAGCTAAAGTAGCTGTTCCTGGCTCTGGCCGGTGTGGCTCAGTTGGTTGAGTGTCGGTTGTCACCGTGCACTGAAAGGTCACCAGTTCGATTACTGGTCAGAACACATACCCAGATAGCGGGTTTGATCCCTGGTCCTGGTGCGTGCGGAAGGCAGCCCATCAATAGTCCTCTCTCTGTCCCTCTCCCCCCTCTTTAAAATGAATAAAAACATATTTTTAAAAAAGTGGCTGTTCCTGGATTGGCCAAATCCACTTGATGGGGGTCTAGTTTACTTTGAAATGGGTAAAACAGTTAAAAAACAAAGAGCTTCTC